AATAATTTATAGCCTTGTATGTGGCATTCAGAGGCATCTCTCTATCTTTCAGATTGAGCCAGGTCTCTGTTATAGCATAATATCTATGTTTCCTGCACTTGCAATTAATCTTAGCTCATCTATCTTATTTCTTACACTCCTGCTATTAGTATAGTAAACCTTAAGGGAGCTAGTCCCTTGCTGCCCTCTGCTGTCCCCCTTTGTTTGCTGACCTGATCTATTGTCTTTATTTATAACTTCATGCTGAATGCCTTTTATACATTTACTGTTTCCAACCCAAGTGTTGCACCCTGCTTGTTTCCCACACACACCCAGACCTCTATCTTCCATCAGTTTAAAATCATAGGCATTTCACCAATGGCCTTCTCAATCGAGTCTGCAAGTGCTACCACCCCAGCCCCAGAGAGATGTACCCCATCCCTTGCATACATATCATGTTTGCCATAAAAGTTGTTCCAGTTGTCAATGAATGGGATTGCAAGTTCCTTGCAGTATCTGTCTAGCCAGCAATTTACACCAATTGCCCTAGACAACCATTCATTTCCTACTCCCCTTCTAGGCAAGATGCTACATATGATTGGGATCCCTCCCTTAGACTTAATGAAATCTATAGCTGACCTGTACTTATCTAGCAGCTCTTCTCTCCTACCCTTCCCAATATCATTTCCACCAGCACTGAGACAGATAATGGGCTTGCTCCCATTACTTGACATGATATTATCCAGCCTGTTGACAATGTCCCCAACACCAGCTCCAGGGAAGCACACTCTATCTCTCATCTTCTTATTCCTATTACAAAAAGCACGATCAATGTATCTTACCTGAGAGTCACCAACCACAAGAATGCGCTTACCTCCATTAGCAGGGGCAGTAGTACCCTTACCTTCACTGGCCACTGAAGTACATTCATCCTGAAGAACAGAGAAGCGATTTCCTACCTTCAGATCTTCACTCTTAACTTTCCTTACTCTGATGCGCCTTCCATTACTGTGAACTACTCGCCACTTGTAGCAGGTGCTAGGCTGCACCTCACTGCTGGTAGCCGTTGCTGCCTCCCCAACTACAGCCTCCTCACAGCGAGAGACAGACTGCACCTCGCTGCTAGAAGCCTCATTCCCCACAACTCCAGCCACCTCACACTCTCTCCCAGACCCATTGAGGTGGACCTTCAGCCTCCTAATCACCTCCTGGAGAAGCAAGACCTCCTCCTTCAACTCTCCAACCTCAATTTTTAAAACACTGCAGAAGCAAGCCATGCTTTGTAACCGTCCACACTAATCCCCAAAGCAGCTCAGGGTCTGTGACCTCACGTGACGACTGACCAGACTCAATTCAGGGAACTAGAGCACAGATCCAATTCCCTAGATCAAGAGCTCCTCACCAGCATCAAGGAGCCTCCCTTGAGGGGAAGAGGTTATACAATGCTTAGGGTAGCTCATGATTATATTCACTTATTATATTCGTGGGGAGCACTAAACCCATAGGATTATACAGTGCACGTGGAGGGGGATGGAAGGTATTCAGGCTCAATTCAGGGAACCGGAGCAAAGATCCAATTCCCTAGATCAGGGATTCTCAACTTTTCCTCCATCATTAACACCCTCGGCTTGATGTATTTCTCCATTTACCCCCTTACTTCCATACAAAAAAATTATCGCTATCATAAAGAGACAGAAAAACAATGATAAATTCAATTATCAGGTACATGTACATCAAATATTTACGCCTTGCCATGTAATTTTTTACCACCAAGGGGTAAATTTACCCCTAGTTGAGAATCACTGCCCTAGATCAAGAGCCCCTCACCAGCATCAAGGAACCTCCCTTGAGGGGATTTTTATATTCAAAATATACATTAAACCTGTATGGATAATACAGCACCTAAGTAAGAAGAGAGTGAATCAGGTTTCTTTTGAGAAAAGGGAGGATAAATTCAAACTCTTGCATCAAGTACAGTTCACTGAGATCAAAGTAACCCCCAATCTCCTTGAGAAACAAAGACAGTATCAAGTGATGCCTTGGCACAACCCTTTGTTCGTTACTTACGAAACCCCAGCCAGGTAAATCTGATGCGCACCACAAATGCCCACAGTGCTACCCAGGACAGATGGTATGCAGATTATATTCTGTATATCTAACTTTTTAATCAAGGGAAAGCACTAAACCTGTAGCTAATGGGGAACAAGAGGCAGTCAAGTTTGATCCAAGGAAAGGTAGGTCATGTCCAATTTCTTAGATCAAGAGCCCCTCACCAGTATCAAGGAATCCCCCTAGAGGGCTTCAAGATTCACATTATTACTATCACTATCATAATAATAAAGTGCTAATCCAGAAAGGGTCATACAGCACTGCAAGAGATTCATAGAAATCTCTAATTGATTAAGCAGGCTCACAAACTGTTACTTTGAGCAGCGAATACACAAACAGATCAACTAATACGCCACCAGACCTTGAAGCTATGCATGAATAACAGGTTGATTAGCCCACACTGAATGTCCTAGTTTTGTGTCTGAATCTATCCAACAAAAGAGAAAACATGTTTCTCACTTATGAGCAATAGTTCCAGGGACAGGCCCAACTTTCATGAGAGGAAATGAGCAGTATGAGTTTCCCTGCACAGTGAACTTCTGAGGGCAGTGCTGAGTTTGTCTTTGCAGACCATAGGCCCCTCAGGGAAGGTTCCTTGATGTTGGTGAGGGGCTCTTGATTTAGGGAATTGGATCTGTGCTCCAGTTCCCTGAATTAAGCCTGAATGCCTTCCACATCCTCTCCCCAGGCGCTGTATAATCCTCCAGGTTTAGCGCTTCCCCCTTGATTATAATAATAATAATTTGCAGACCATACCCACCCTAGAGGGGCAAATCACAGCCAGTGCAGCTCAAAGTGATGACAAAGAATGTAAGCCCCAAAACACTGAAGAGTGTCAGCCCTTGAGAAAAGGTGGAGGAATACTGTGGGCAAGAATTAGTAACTGAGTATGGGGAACTGATGTTATCACTTTACTTAGATCATTATTTAAAAGGGATTTAAAATTATATATACTATACTAGATGTATAAAATTCTTTATTTATCTATATATTGTGCACTCTCATACATCTGGAATGTGTGATAATTGGCAGACATAAAATTAAATTAGACATTTTAATAGCTCTGAATATTTAAAAAGCCTCGTACTATACTTTGTAACAAGTTTGTTGTCAATGCCGGAATGTTACAAAAAAAAAAAAAAAAAAAAAAAAATGCATATTAAACAGCAGCAAATCTGCACTTCTGTACATAAATGTCTACCTGGTCATTGTGTGTGCATTTCTTAAGTCTTTGTTCTAGACATACTTGCTACTAGAATGCACCTTGCATTTAACAGAACTTTTAAATTTAAATCTCATATAAGCATAGTACAATTTGCACCATTTTTATCAGTTTAGCACTTTTAACAACAAACATAATACCCTTCATACATATTTACACCATAAAACCTTTTTGTTTTATAAGGAAATTACAAAAAATGCAGTTTTCACAAAATAATATTTCATATCATTAGTTGAGTATTAAATTATTTTATAATCTCCAATATTTCTGAAGAACATATTTTCAAAACACTAATTTTGAGGAATATCTGACCAACCGACAGTACCATTTTTATAATCGCATTTTCATAATTCATTTCTATTCGTGTACAGTATTCATATTGAAGAGAATATGCCATATTAAACCAACAATTCCATAAGCACCTTAAACATTAATTTTAAATTGTATCAACATGAGAATAGCCACTTCCTGTTCCCATTGAATAAAAACATATATACAGTATGTACTGTATAAAAACATTATTAAGGAAATTTAGGTGTTATTACTACAGTAATAAAAAATATGTATTAAAGAGAATACCAAAAGCTCTGGTATGTAAATAAACTACAGTAGTAAATTATTATTATTATCAAAAAGAAGCGCTGAGCCACAAGGGCTATATACAGTAGTGAAGTGCAACAGCGTACCATTTTATTGAAGAAATTTCAACATCCGGTCCATTCGAGTATTTTCTCAATGAATATGAAACTTGTCAGAAGAGGGATTAACTAATACATGATTGGCACCACATTAGTAGCTAACTTTCAACAGCCCAGGGTGAGAGAATCAATCTTTTCAGAGATCTTTCGATATTTCATAAACTAGCAAATATATTACCACACTGGTCAGTATACAGATCTTAATCCTAACCAGAGAATTGTTTTTGATCAGCAGAATGACAGTTCCAACACAAATACTCAACTTGTTTATAATTGAAATTCTAGCCAAAGTAACAATGGAAGCCAGAGTTCTGGTACATCATATACAAGCCACAGTATGTGCCCCGTTTTACATAAAACGGTAAACAATTAAATCAGGAAAATAAAATTTCATGCAGTTGGCATAAGGATGCCTTCATATTCTTTGTTTAGAAAGAGGGTCCTAATACCGGTTGTTTTTACAGACATGCCAAGTTATAAGATTAGGAGACAACTTCTTACTCAAAGTGAATGATAAGTCACTCTAGCACTGAAGAGTTATAACAGAGCAGACTGAGGTTGCGGCAAGAAAGGAAGAGCTAATATTGCAGCGAAGTCTAAAGCATCTCACTGGGCAGGAATTTAGGTTGAAGCACTAAACAGTCATACAGCACCTGGGGAATGGAAGGTAATCTGGTTTGATCCAAGGAAGGTAAGGACAGGTCCAATTCCTTGCATCAAGAGCCCCTCACCAGCATCAAGGAACCTTCCTTGAGGGGATTCATGTGTGTATAGGTTAGGAAGCATTGGTTCTTTGTTTTGCTGAAGGTGCTTTACTGCCAGGGTCATTAGCATAGCACTGGGAAACAGATGGAATTGCTTGTTGTTTAGGCCATGCAATTAATAATACAAAAAGTTGGCCATAAATAAAGGAAAAGGATGAGAGTGCAGAAATAAGAGCATTTAGCTCTTGGGTCTGTCTCAACCTGTTACTAAATTAATCACATTTGTTAAAAAAACTGTACAGAGCAGATTTTACTGTGTCTAGTCTAGTATTATAATTATCCAGGGACGTGCTAATTCTTGTCTAGTTAATTCTGCTTCATTCTTGCCCTAATCTGGAACTCCAGCTGTGCATAATTAAGGATTAGCTGCACATATGGGAAGACTGACTCGAGCACTATTTAAAACTACTAAAGACTTTCCTGTTTACAAGCCTAGCATATACAGCTGTTACATTGATTTTATAAAATTCAGTTACATATTTTGACTAATTCTTACTCCTAGGTCTTTGCTTCTCAGTAAGTTGTTTCCCTCCTAGATGGTGTGATGTGTCTGGTCTTTGGTCACCTTTCTGACACTTTCAAAACTCCAGTAGTCACTTTCTTACCCAGTCTTGCAACCTGTCCAAACCCTCTTGAAGTTTAAACGTCTCTTCCGTGTTATCAGATTCTGATACAGAGGTTGGTACTGTTGTTACAATAACAAAGTCTGTATGCAAGAGAACTGTCTTATCACATTAATATGTGTTATGGCTATACAGAGAATAGAGAATAGAGTTATCAAAAGTATATTTTAGTATGGAAGGAATAATTAAAGTAGTGGGAGAGGGGGAAGACTGTTGAAATTATACAAAATAAGATTAAGAGAAGTACATGTATATAAATCTAGGGTAGATCGAAGGTGGTGCAAGGGAACACCTGAGGAAGGGATGTAAAGAGGGTGTGAAATCATAAAAAAGGTGAAGCATGAACAACCAGTAGGCATATGGAAGTGTTAGATAGGAGAGAGTAGAGGGAAGTTATCTTTAGGATTTCATGTGCTGTGGAGTGCAAGGACAGTAATATCTATGAATGTTGTCTGGTAATTTTGTTAAACTGTTTAGGAAGGAGAAGTTTAGGTTACTCTTTAAATGTTAAGTCGGGATGTTGCAATTTGGTTGGTCAATATTGAACTGCAATATTAACTCTTCTAAAAAGACAACTAGGACAAAAGTGATGGTAAATATTTTCTCTTATTTTGTGTCACCTTGTCTTTGTAAGAAATAGGCTGTACTTCAGAGAACAAAACTAAGAAAATCTTATATTTTTTTATTACTGCTCAATGTAATTAAAGTTTGTGTTAATATATACATCAGCAAATAGTAGCTTAGCCAAAGTATGTTATCCAGTCAAAGGATTTCACCATATAATTAACCACAATATGCTAGTCCCAAATTATAAATTTTCTTAAGAGTTATGTCATCATGCAACCATTGAAGAGTAAATAAAACTTGAAATTTTTAAGACAGTACAATCACAACTCGTGCCTTCTCCCAAAGTTGTAACAATGAAACATTAAAACTGTTATTAATTTTTCTAACTGCAATTCCATAATGCATACATGCATATGCAACTTGTACTCATTTTTAAGGTCCCATGTTGGCGCATTGCCCAAGTACATCAGCACCACACCAATTTTATACAATAAAAAATTAAATGGGAAGGTCCCATTTCTACCACGTATCTAAAAAAAATATAAATACATATATATCAAGGGATTTATTTTCAGATCAAAGTAAGTTTTTTTTACTTAAAATGCCTCCATAAATTACATCTGATTTTTTGGAAAATTTTCAGGATATCATTATCCTGGTACTCCAGGATAAAAGGAAAAGCCCAATATCATTATGCAAGATACCTTTTCCTAAATGCAACAATAAAGTCATCATTTGTAAGTAGCAAAATGATATAACTCATATGCAGGTATTGTGTGGCAGCTGACACACTATGACCTAACACTTAACATATTCACCATCTCTTAAATTGAAAGTTAAATATTATACAGCAAAGAATTTTTTATGCATTTTGCCAGAAAGAGTGCAATCCAATTATTCCAAGATATCTTTTTTATCACACTGGCCATCTCCCACCAAAGTAGGGTGACCCAAAAAGCAGGAAACATTCACTATTATTAATTCAATAGCTGTCTTGCTACAAGTACAAACATCATAATTCAAAATGAAGAATATAAAAGCCAAGTTTACAAGTGACAAAACGTGTGGATTTGAAATTTTTATATACTATTCAAAAAGCTCTCGTTTTAATGTGAAAGTGATAGTATTTATCGACATTCATAAAACTTTATTTAAAATTTTGAAATACATTACTAATAATTAAAATTTTAAGTGAAACTTAACACAATTCAATGATAGTAATCTTCTTAATAAAAACGAGATAGAATAACATGTGGAAACAGTGGAATTTGGGTAAACAGGATGGGTTCATGAGAAAAAAAAAAAAATTTCTTTCTGATACACACTTCCTCTCTATAACCACTGTCACTAATGTGCAGGATGTAGCCTTCCACGAATTCATGAATAGTTGAAAAGAATTTAGGAATAGTTGTCTTATTAGGTATATTTATAAGAGTCCAGCAACTGGTGTACTGTTTGCCTCAGGTACTGAATTTTAAAAACTACTATGGTGTCCTGTCCCATTAGCTGGATTAAGGTTAGGATTTTGGGCTCCAAAATTATCATTAATGCAAGAGCAGGAGTCCTGAGGGTTACTGAATGGTGACCTATACAGGACTTTCCCACACACTCACCTTGTCCTACACCAAATTATGCAACTGAGATCACCCCTTCCATCCATGCAATTAGGAAGCTGCTGTAAAGAAATAGTACAAATACTGTACAAATATCATTTAAAATGCACACACCTGAGGGCCTACTGTATATTAAACTGGGGTGGGACTCTTCTTGAGGTTGAGTACTCTCTTTTACCACCCCATTTATTTTGAGTAATTGTTTATTAATTTAATAGATGCAGCTCGGTTGAGGATTGCATTATATGGATCACAACATACATACATAATAAACATACACTTCAGAAACTTTAACTTATAATTTTTAATGTGTAAAAATCCTCTAGAAACCTAACAACCATCCAGTAAAGGAGTGGGAACTCTGCCTAATAACACATTACACATGTACCAGTATCACATTAAACTCACAAATTAATTCCTAGTTTCAATAAATAAAATCCTTAACACTTTTATACAATCAGGTCAGCTTCCCGCATATTTATAAAATAAGCCTCTCCAAGTGTTGAATCCTTCTGCACTCAATAGCATTTAAATATCTAATAAGAAAGACCACTTAATGAATGGTGATGACGAACTCTTCACGCATGCTAACTCCTGGCTTGCGTATGGTCAAATGACTAGCATGGGTGCCAGTGCCACTTTCAAATATGCTCTCCAAGTCACGAGTACCTAAAGCTGTAGGAAAAAATGTATACACATTACTATGATAAAAACAGAATTTACGAAAAAAAAAAAAGGCTAAACATTAAAAACAAAAATTATAAATAAAGCAATACTGTAATGGTACACTAGTTCCTTCACCTGCTGGTAGTTACAGAATGATAATTTTTCTACAAAGAACTAACCTAGCAGAACACCCAGGAACTTCAAATAAGGATATCTATTTCATTAGTAACTGCCCTAACTTCCTATATTTATCCCCCAAACCTGTGGTATAAATAACCTTTATAATCCAATAAAAAACACAACAAATACTCATAACAAAATACACACCTTCACAAAGCTTTATAGGCAATTAGGTAATCAGTTAATATTAGTAATACATGTATTGATCCTATCATTGAGGTAACTTTAATTGTTTATAGTTCTGGACTTGACCAAAAGACTATGCTAACACATGCTTTTGCAAAATCTGACACTAAATTAAAAAATAGGCACACCTGTTCTGTATAGTGGTACAGTAGTTGTTCATTATTATCATAAAAAATAAAGTTTATTTCTCTCACATAAAACAAGTATTCCTGCAAGTATTCTTTACAATTTCCTCAAATGATTTTTTTATCTGAGATTTGTACACAATTTTATTTATTTTTATATTTTGCAAAAATATTTATATAAAATTAAAATATCTAAAAAATCTATTAAATATAACACCTTTGAGAAATTAGATAATTAATATCTACAACATGATCAATTAAAAAAAATGGTAGAAACCATTATTGAAAATAAAACTTACAGGCACTCTGTATAGTAACTTTGGAAGGACGTTTCTGAAGTCCAATAACAACAACACGTTCCAACCAAGACCCAGTCTCATAAGTGCCACCAGGATCTACCTTCTTTGAGGTCAGTATTCCACCTTCATAGGAAAGGGCCAAATATAGGAATTTTCCCTAGGGAAAATAAAGATTCAATTAATTGTAAGCCATAATATAAATGTAATCTTTAAAAGTGCTCAAGCTATTCAGCAATCTTACTTGTGCAGCAGCATAATGAGAAACCAGTACAGCCATATGACAGATTAAGTAATTTTGAAAATCTGGCCAAAAATGGCAAAAAATTGCTGAACTATAGTCTAGGGATTTTTTGGGGTGAAAAAACTCTCTCAAAATACAAAATGCTTATGATGACATTGTTGGATCAATTGCACCTTACAAACATGAAAAAATCCTGTATATACAGCTTTCATGGAAGGTTATGAGAGTTCTCTTAAAATAAATGTGCCATAAAAGGTGCCTCAGACAGGGAAGAATCAGAAGAGGAAGAAGAGGCTAGTGTCATGCTAAAATGGTCTCTTTTTGTTTTCAAGTGCATATTCTTAAGTAACATCAAAAATAGTTCAAATGGAGTGATTTTTTTTTTTTAGTAATGTTTAGTTATTTTTTTCAATTTATGGCTGGTTTTCCTAATTTTTAATTTTATCATATTAGTAATTTTTCATTATTTTGGATAATTTTTAGTTACTATTTGATAATTTTTAGTTATTTTTGATCATATTTAGTTATTTTTTATGACTTAGTTATTTTCCATAATGAATAGTCTTAATGAAAACATTAGCTTTCTCTATTAGGCATTACTGGGAAAGGAGGGCCTCGTATGATGCTAAAATGATCTGACTTTACATTTTTAAGTGTACATTCTGAGTCAGCATAGAAAACATTACTCCTGGTGTAGCTACAATTAGGTAATTATTAGCAAAAAATATCCTAACCACAGTACAGTGGACCCCGCATAACGATCACCTCCGAATGCGACCAATTATGTAAGTGTATTTATGTAAGTGCGTTTGTACGTGTATGTTTGGGGGTCTGAAATGGACTAATCTACTTCACAATATTCCTTATGGGGACAAATTCGGTCAGTACTGGCACCTGAACATACTTCTGGAGTGAAAAAATATCGTTAACCGGGGGTCCACTGTACTATATGTTTGCCTATACGTATAATTATGTAATAAGTACTACACCCTGCCTCGGTGGGAGACGACCGACTTGTTGAGAAAAAAAAAAAAAAAAAAAAAAAAAAAAAAAGTACTACACGCAAACTGTCACAAAAAAAAGGTTGTCATTCATTCCTTCTGAATGAACTAGTTCCACTTAGTCCTCTTTGTTGCCACTTCTAGTGCTGTGTCATCATGCAAAAAATACTTTTCAGATAATCACTATCTGCCCATCTCCTCAATCTTCAACCTCTTATTCTCAAAGTAAGTAGGTAGTGCTACCTACTTTGAGATACTTTCTTACCTACCAACAACATTCACTAGTTCATTATAATCATACCATCAGGGATGAAACTCTCAGAGAAAGAAGGGGATGGGATTATCAAAGGCCACTAACTCCAAGTTTGCTTGTATAATGCATTTTAAATACCGTACTTAACGTTATATCTCCTTACCTGCCTATATTCAAATGTATGCTCATCATCGATGTACAGAGTTCCCTGAGCTTTCCCATACGAATCCAAAGCTACTGATAGAGTGTACGGGTCATCACGCATTAATGAAGATGCTCGACGTACTCGATCTTTGCGAGGGATTATGCTTCCACCTCTCTGGTAAACTGGAATCTGTTGAATTAGTCATGAAATATAAAAAACAAGCAGTAATAAAGGTTCTCTCTCTAAAGTCAGTGTTTAATAATTTCTTATCAAAGTATTATTTCCCCAAATACATCTAGAAATTCTAATTACTTAAAAGTAATATATGTTAGATGTCATTAGCAACTAGATAATAAAGATAAAACTACCTTTCAAAAATATTAGTAATAAAAAGGGCACAAAATTTACTGAACATCTCTACCACCAACTTAAAATTAATTAGTAAATGTAAGAAAAATCGTTTCAATAATATGGCCAGACATATTTACTTTCAATATTAAGCATCAAATTTTCTGCTAAAATAACTATGCAAACACGTTAAAGACAAAATTTCTTGTCTTTTGTGTTTTCAACTTTTTCTCATACAAATTTATTTCAGTTTAAAGTCCAGAATATTTACCATGCATATACCTGATAAAATAGCTAAAGACCTACAAACAAAGCCAGAACTAAGTACAGGTTTTAAAAATGAAAAAGGCATGAACATACCTTATCTCTGGGTGCAGATACAGTGGTACTACTTGGGCCATTATAAATGGTTAAATCAAGTACATCATACCAAACTCCTGGTGGGAAATACACAGGAGCTGTGGTTGCCCCTTCTTCCACAACAGGTCTAACAAGAAGAGCTGAGCCAATCAGATGCTCATAATCAATAGCATATGAAGCTTCATCCTCTGGGAAATCTACCCAGATAGGTCTCATTGGTGGAGCGCCTGAGGAAACATTAGATCACTTAGTATTTCAATTTTACACTGAGCAGGAGCTCTTAAGAGACCTACAGCTCACTAGAAATATAAAATCACATGATACACCTATGAATATAACAAATCAAACTCATTTAAACCATCTTTATTTCAGCCAAAATATAAATTTATTGATACTGAAAACACAAATTTAATAAACCATATCACGGGCGGGGACAGAACCCACATGTGGCATTGTTTGTTTGCAATTGTGTCATTATAATTTCTTGAGTCATTAACCCTTAAATGGTCCAAACATATTTATACGTTCTCTCACGTAGCGCCCCAAACATATATATACGTTTCCTTTGTCATTCATTCAACATTGGCACGATAGGCCTGAGTCACCTAGACATGAGAGAATGGGTGTGCGCACTCAGTGTGTGCCATTTCAAAAAATTGGGGATGCCTGGGTACCAAATGCTCTTTTTCCTAAAAATTTTTTTTTTTCTCAAAATATTCGAGGTGCTATGCACGTGAACATATATATACATTTGGACCATTTAAGGGTTAAATTTAATACAAATCACACACAAAATTTTTATTCCAGTAATCGTAAGTGGAATTATCAGAAAGATGACCTGACATACTGCTGCTCTTTTAACCCTTAAACTGTCGAAATGTAGATCTACATTCACTCGTGTAGTGCTCTGAACATAGATCTACATTTTTTTTTATATCTGAAAGCATGTAAAATAAAACATAGATCTATGTTCCGAGTGCTACGCAAATGAACATAGATCTACATTTGGACAGTTTAAGGGTTAATATAAAAAGTTTTTTTTTTTTTTAAACATACTGGCCGTCTCCCACTGAAGTAGGATGACCCGAGAAAGAAACAATTTTAACTTTATTCTCTCACTTGCTCAAAGCAACAAATGACCATAGATGCATGCAATATTCGAGCTTTACCTAAAAATGGCATATAAATTTTAATTTATCTTCAAACCACTTGGAAAATTTAAAGAAAATCTTCATACAGACTTAAAGGTAATAAACATTTATACACACACACAGAAATAGCAAGAGCATATTATTATTATTATCATCACTCTTTTTTTACCACATTGGCTAACTCCCACTAAGGTTACGTGAATAAAAAAAAAGGAGGGGGGGGAATCAGATGTGATCCAAAGAAGGGGAAGGTAGCTCCTTTCCTTAGATCAAGGCACACTCTTGAAGGGCAAGAGAATAACATCCTAGCTAGTTAACCACAAACTTGGACAAACTCTTGTAAGAGAATCACAAAGTTACCTGTCAGCTCATTTTCATAAAATAGGGTATACCAAAGTGGAAGATACTGATAACGCTGACGAAGAGCATTTCTAATAATGCGTAGTGTTTCAGCATCAAACAGCCATGGCTCACGACGCTTGGTGTCTAGATGTGCATGAGCTCTGAAGAAGGGTTGAAATGCTCCAGCCTAGGGATAATTCAGAGAAAAATTGCAGTCTGTGAAGAACAAAGATAAACTTTCAATTTAAAAAAGCAATTATTCCAATTTCATGCTCAGGAATATACATAACTGGAGTAATGTATTGTATTAATATTGTTGTGTGGATAAACACAATCCAAAGACAAAAAATAAAGTCGAGGGAATGTAAAGTCAAAAATGTAATCACATTCCCACATACATGTGCTCAAACATTTGAAATAAATGCTCACTCATACATATGTGTGAGAATTTTTGTGAGGAAACCTTAGTGTAAACTGAAAGTTCAGTAATGTCTTCTAGACCATGATAACCATAAAAGAAAAAATAAACAGAGAAAATAATGTGGCAATAAATCATCCAAATTGAAGGAGGCCAGAGCAGGCTTAAAGTATGGAAAAGATACAGACAAAGTTTTAGTTGTCCCCACAAATATGAGCACTACAGCAGAGTTAATAGCTGAAAATGAACAGTGAGCTAAAAGTAGAGTTAAATGATGGGACAGAAAGCAAATTTAAAACAAGAAATGTCATCTTTACTATTGTGGCTAGCTAGTAACTTTACCAGCTGAACTGACACTCAGAGTAATGGCCATTACATAATTTTTGTGCCCTGCCATGGAACCAATAACTACCAAAGTCATATCTGTCAAGAAACACTAAGCCAGCAGTTGCTTCGTGTCATGATGATTTTGACAATTTTTCCTTGATGAATACAATAATAACTATGGATGGGAGTGAGTAAAAAAATCTCTGTTTACTGATATAAAGACTAATTAGGGGAATAGAGAGGGGGACTGGAAAGGCTGCAAACGAATCTGGACAAACTGCAGGGTTGGTCAGATATGTGGCTGCTTCAATTCAACCCCAGTAAATGCAAGGTTATGAAGATTAAGGAAGAAGCCAGAAGACCGGGCACAGAGTATAGACTTGGGGGAACAGAGGCTGCAGACCTAATTTGAGGACCTAAGAGTAAGCATATTTGCCTACCATATTGCCAAAGGATTACATCAAGTGAATACTCAGAGGAATTGATAGACCAGACAGAAAGAAGTTGTCTGAGATGCAGGTAACAGGTACTCAGGGGCACAGCTGGAAGTTAAAGATAGAAATGAGTCAGATGTGAGGAAATATTTCTTCAGGGTGGTTGGGAAGTGGAAAAACCTTGATGAAGTAGTGGAGGCAGACTCCATACAACATTTTAAGAATAGTTACAATAGGGCCCATCAGACTAGGAATGAGTGACTCCAGCAAGCAGCAGTTGTGAGGAGGCGCCAGGAGCTGGACCCATTCACGTACCACTATAGGTGAGTGCACAGACCACTGAGTCTGACTAGTAAGCCAGCTTTAGCTCTGCACTGGCTTTCCATGAAGCCAACAGCTACCACATTCACATTTGTGTTAGACATCACAGTCTATAGTACCACACATCAACTAAGGTGGTTATCACTGATGAATGCAATAATATATAACTGTCAAATTATCAGTGTAGTAATTTTTTTTTTTTTTTTCAACAAGTCGGCCGTCTCCCACCGAGGCAGGGTGACCCAAAAAAGAAAGAAAATCCCCAAAAAGAAAATACTTTCATCATCATTCAACACTTTCACCACACTCACACATTATCACTGCTTTTGCAGAGGTGCTCAGGATACAACAGTTTAGAAGCATATACGTATAAAGATACACAACATATCCCTCCAAACTGTAATATCTTTATTTAATACAAGTACATGTACAAGGTATACAGGCCTAGCTGACAACAATGACATACTACTATATAGAAAGCCCCTTGTTATGCCCGCATGTCCCGGCAAATTAGTCGGTGTCCCCGGATGTGACCCACACCAGTTGACTAACACCCAGGTACCCATTTTACTGATGGAGAACATAGACAACAGGTGGAAAGTGGGAACAAAACCCGGGGCCCTCGCCGTGTGAAGTAGAGGTTACCACCAGGCCCCACCAGAGCATAGAAATATAATAGACAATTTGAGAAAAAAGAGCTACACAAACTAATAAACACTCTAAAGGGCTGAAAGGAAACAAGGAGTAAATTTTGTTTAAAAAGGAAAGGAACCCTTTAAACACTATGCTATTCTTTTCTGAAGGGGGAAAAAGAGTAGGTTAAGAAATTAGCTATAAAAGAATGAATGTTTTTTTGGGTACATCATAGGGCCCCATTATACAGGGGTTGGTTCCGGCTGTCGCCGGAAAGCAGACATCCCCCGGAAAGGCTAACGCCTTTTTTTTCCCTTTAAAAAATGCTTTAAATGCCAGAAAAAAAGTTTACACAAAATTTAAGTTAGTAATAGAACTAGGCATTAAAAACACACAAAGTAAAATTTAATTCGCAGAAATTATTATTATTTTAAAAAATATTTGTAATCTTAAGTAGGGGGGAGGGTGAGTAGTCTTATTTGTGGGAAAAGCAGGTGCAGGTAGCCCAGGTGAGGTAGCATGGCCCCCCGTTATACTTAATATAGATATTTAACCCTTTGAGGGTCAAAAGGCCCTCCCCGAAACTCTTTCTCGGGTCGGCCAAATTTTAAAAAAAAAAAAAATTTTTTTTCTTTAAAAAGTTTTAGAATCTTTTCCCGTCAAAAAGACCAAAATTTTGAAATTTGATAGAAAACTTAGGAATTATGCTCTTGCAAAGTTTGGGTCCGGCGTGTTTAGCACGGCGATTTTGCCCACTTTGACCCCCCAATTTTTTGGGCCCAATTTCACTGTATAGTCGACAAAAAACATGAATATTTCGCTAGAAACTCCATTTTTTTATCGAATGGGTCCCCAAAGAAACCACTCATTTTGAAATTCAACTTCCAGACAGGGTAAAATTTAGAAATTTTGCCAATTTCCCCAAAAATTTCAAAAGATGCCAATTTCAATAGGGCCCAGTAAACAAGAAAGACATTCTGGCACAAAATGACTTTTTCCTTAGTATTATTCAGTTAAAGGCCCCTCTTATATTCTTTGTTTTCCCCACTTTAAATTTTTATTTTCAAAAAAATATAAGATTTATGTTTGCGACTACTGCATAAGTGTAAAAAATGGTAAAATATTATTGGTGACTTGTGAAAGAATTTGACTCACCATTTGACGTGTATTGCACGCTTGGCACGTTTTGTTTATTTTGAAAGTTGGTAAAAATCGAACTTTTTCTGCTACTTTAGTTAAATTTTAAGGCCATTTCTTGTAAAACCAGTCAAAATCATCTCTTTTTCTGAAATTGTTTTCCCTTCTATAAAATGAGCCCAAAGGGGAAAAAAACTAGAATAACAATAAATCCATAAAAAATCACTGCAAAAGTCGCTGATTTATTAAAAAAAAATGGTAAAAAGTTTTTTTTTTCTCTTATGCACTGTTTTGGCAGGTTTTTTTTGACTTTGCACACGACCACAAGACCCATTCTTTCTTTTATAAAGGCCTACCACCCTTCTCCCATAGATTTGGGGGCCGCTAAAATTTATGAGTATAGTACGTCAAAAACCCCTAGCGTAGAGTACTAGTACGACAAAAAACCCCAAAAGGGTTTAAAAAATCCCAGGAGGAAAAAATACACATAAGTACACTCCATTTACCTTAAAATATTGTAGTTTTAAATTTTGGAAAGAGGGAGAAATATTTATTTGTAGAAAGTCAGTATAGGTACCCGGTAGGTGTAGCCGCCTGGGCTAACCTCCCGGCTACCTCAAGTGGCCCGAGCCATATTATTAAATCGACTGCCTTGTTCACTGAATTTAATCTTTTCTAACAATACTTTAGATGCCATCATAAACGAAGATAGAAGTAATGAATAATTCATGCCAAAAATTTGTAAACAAAAGGGGAGTGGGGGTGATGGGCCAAACACAGTTTCAACAGTTTTCCTGATGGTGAACAGAAAAAAGTAATTTTTGTCCCCCCACCCGGCTACCCACAGCTCCACAAGTATTTTTTTTATCAGAGCACACATAAAATATGCAATAAATGCCAGACAAAAATTACACACTTATATTAAAAGTTAGCAACAGAAATAGGGATTTTTAAAAAACAAAAAAGGTAGATCACACAGAGTAACTTATTACTTCCTTAAAATATTAATTTAATGTGTGAGGGTGAGTGGCAGGGGGGTTTATTGAAAGAAATCAGAATGGCACACCATCACCCCTAATTGGCACTTAAAGCAAGGGCTTAGACTTCTTTTTTATTACAGTAACCTTTGACACCTGTCAATGAGAGCCAATAGTTAAAAAGAGTAAAAGGAGAGAGAACGGATACAGAGTTGAGACAAAGTAAGAGCACAAACTGAAAAGGTAGTGGACGTCACTTGGTCAGGCGAAATAATGCGTATTTAATATGTGTCTACTTTTAGTTCATTTAGTCCATTTGTAAAAGTTTTTAAAAAAATTTACCTCAAAATTTTTTTTTTTTAATAATAATTACCTCAATACAAATTTCCCATGGAACCCCTAAAATGGGCCCTACATTTTTCGTACGAATTTTTTGAAAAATTATTTTAATTAAAAAAAATAATTTTTAAACCTAATGTGTCGCCCCCTCAAATGTCCCTCCGTCCCATTTTTCCGAAAAATTTTTTTCCAAGAAACTGGAATATTTTTTTTTTTTACATAAAAATTTTTGCTGCTTAAAAAGGAAAGGGCCGAAAGTTTTGCCCCTGTGGTAAAAAGGGAAATGGAAAAGAAATTTTTAAATTTTCTAATAAAGTATGCCCTTGTAATATTTCCCTTTCAAATTAAGGTGTGGCCAAGGGGGTTTACTTCAAACCTTTTTAAAAAACACCCCTACACAGTGTTTTAAAAGCCTTTTCTTTCCCCAATACAAGTTATCCCATTTTTAAAATCTTGAAGAAAATAAAGCTCTATGGCAGTTTGTTTTTACAGGGTTATGGCCCCAAAGGGCCCTTCATTAAAAAAAATAAAACCGAAAAAAGGTGCTCCCCGTTTGGGGGGGTTCCCCTTTTCCTAAACATAAAAAATAATTCTCCCCTTT